TGACAGGTATGCCTTTACTGTATCTGTGCTTTGTATTTTGGTGAATGCTTCGTATGCAGTTGTATTATTTGGTGTATAATTTGCTTAAAAGCCTGGTTTGGGTCAGATCTTACATGTTATTTTAAATGTATTAAGCTCCCACTTCAAAACTGCCTGCTGTCAGGACCTTTACATATATTAGCCCCAGTCTTACCCCCAGGAGGTGGGCACTGCAGACATTCTACAGGGAAGGAATCCATGACGCGGAGAGGTCAAATAGTTTGTTCAAAGCCCTAAAAATAACAAGAGTTGGAAGTCAAACTCAGCTGTGTCTTTAAAATGTCTTAAAATCTTCGCCCCACACACTGATTCTCCTGTGTACATACTGAAGACTGCTGTGGATGATGAGGCAGCCGTGTGGGTCGTGCTGTCTTCCCTTTGCTGACTTCAGAGGACTTTTTTTGCTGACCAGACTAGCTTTGATTAATCGTATTAAACCATAAGTATTCCTTAGAATTGGAAGCTCGCTCTAGTTATTTCAACCAAGGAGAAGCTGAGTTGGTGTTTCCCATGGAAAGCATTTGCTACTAAATACTAGTTTCAGGGGTGCTAATTAAACGTGAGACGTAAGAAGAATCACTTGATCAGAAAGCTAGGTTAGATTTTGGATAACAGTCCTTTATCAGATCTTTCTTTGGCAGATCATTTTTCCCGTCTGTACCACATCTTCTTGTTCTCTTGATGGTGTCTTTTGAAGAGCAGAGGGTTTTCATTTTAATGACGTCCAGTTTATCAATTCTTTATTTCATGGATCATGCCTTTGATGTTGTATCTAAAAAGTCATTGCTGTATCCAAGGTCATCCAGATTTTCTCCTGCATTAGCTTGTAGGAGTTTTATATTTTTTTTACATTTAGGTCTGTCATCCTTTTGGAGTTAATTTTTGTGAAAGGTGTAAGGTATGTGTGTCTAGAATTGATTTTTGCATGTGGATGTCCAGTTTTTCAGCACCATTTGTAGAAAGACTATGTTTTCTCCATTATAATGCTTTTTTCTTTGCTGGAAATCACTTGATTTTATTTATGTGGGTCTATTGCATTTGATATTTTTTATTTCTAGCACATAATATAATACAGAATATATTTTTTCAAAACATTGTATTATAGTTACTGATATATAAATAAAACTTATTGTTTTTAACCAGGGGAAAAAACAAAAAAAAACTAGGTTAGATAAAACAAATGAGTTTTTTTATCTTGTTTTGTCTTAACTACAGGACTTCTTGGGGGTCTAGAATATAGCATCTTCTAAATTTCCTTTTTTTTTTAAATTGAAATATAGTTGACATCTAAATTTCCTTTTGAAGGGAATTTGTATCTCAGGGAATCGTGGTCCATGGAAACTGCTTTGGAAAATGCTACTAGAGATCCCGAAAATCTTGAGGTCCTAGTCCGTTTTTGCACTCATTCAGGAATTCTGCCTGAAACGTGGTTGAATCTTATCCTTACAAGAGTGCTTCTAAGCACTGTGATGCCTTGTCCTGGGCAGAGCTGGCCGCCAGGGCGGTCTTCCTTGTACCAGCAGGGTGTAATGCCTCTTGTTCACTGGTTCACGTTCCCTCCTGTAAAGCGCTGGTCTCCCAGTGATCTTCATTATGTAGCCCATCAGTGAAAGGTCCCAGCTCATACCATTCGAAATAGGCACATTCATTTATGTTACATGCATATACTGTTGTAGTAAAGTATTATAAAAAGGTACAGCATATAAAAATTAGAGATTGAAAGTTAAGTTGTCTTTAAATGTCTTGCTAATTAAAATGGTTTTATACTACCATGGGCTAGAATCTTAATGCAAATATTGATGCTCAGGGTGAAGTTTATTGTTAATTTAAATCCATATTTGAATTTTTTGCTATGGGAATATTGAGGAAGGAGGCCTGACCTGGTCTTTTGGGTTTAGAGGAGGCTTCCTAGAAGGAGTGCCAGTCTTAGCGTAAACTGTGAAGGACAAGGGAGTTGGTCGTGCTGGGAGCAGGGCCGGGAAAGAGCAGGTGAAGGCTGCAGGTGGGAAGGAGGAGGGACCTAGGACCGATGGAGTGCCAGAGTGGCTGCAGCTGAGCATGGCTGGGGGAAGGGACGAGGTTCAGCTGGAGAGGTAGCCAGAAGCCGGGTTGTCCTGGGCCTGGTTAGATTTTGAACTTTGCTCTAAGAACAGTTGGAAGTAACTGCAGGGTGTCCAGCAGAGGGAATGACGTGAGAATTATATATACAGTAAAAGCCACCCTTTAAGTGTTTAGCTCAACGAGCTTGACAAATTCATTCACCCTTGCAGCAGCCACCCCGATTATGAAAATAGAACATTTCCCTGATGCCCCCAAAACCTGCTTGGGGAATTTGGGGGCGATGCTCTTTGGCAGTCATTTCCTCCCTGACCCCTTACCTGGACAACCAGTCATCTTTCTGTTATTGTAGATTCGTTTGGCCTCTTCCAGAAGCTCATACACATGGAATCTTTTCTGTCTGCCTCCTTTCTCCCAGCATATTATCTCTGAGGTTTAACCATGCTGTGGGTCGTGTCAGTAATCTGTTCCTTTATGTCACTGAGTAGGGTTCCATTGTGTGGAAATACAAACATTTGTTTATCCAGCCATCTGTTGAGGGAAATTGGTTTGTTCCAGTTTGGGGTTATTAGTAATAAAGCCAAGACCATCTGTAAGCCTTTGGGTGGGCAGAGGTTTACCTTACTCTTGGGTAAATACCTAGGAAAGGAGGACTGAGTTGTATAACCGCCTGTTTAAGTTTGTAAGAAACTATCGAACTTTTCCAAGCTGGTAGTACCATTTTGCATCCCCACCACCAACGTACAAGGATTCTGCCAACATTTGATGGTGTCGGTCTTTTTATTTCTTGCCCCTGCAGGGAGTGTGTCTTGGTATCTCTTTGAAGTTTGTGTTGCACTTCCCTGACTAATGATGTTTAGCATTTTTTTAATTCGTACATCACCTTTAGTGAAGTGTCTGCTGAAATCTTTTACCCTTTATTATAGGAGTGTTTGTCTTATGAGTTACAGGGTTGTTTTTTTTTAATATATTCTAGATACAGGCCCTTTGTCAGACAGATGTGTTGACATAGTTTTTCCCATTCTGAGGCTTGCCTTTTCATTTTCTTAAGTGGTATCTTTTGAAGAGTAGTTCCTAATTTTGATGAAGTGTAATTTATCAAGCTTTAATTTTATGGTTCATGCTTTTTTTGCCCGGTTTAAGAGAATATTGCCTATGCCAAGTCTGTGTTTTCTTCAATAATTCCTATAGTTTTAGCTTTTGAGCCTATGTGCCATTTTGAATTTTCATGTATACTTACAAAAAGCATTGAGGGTTGTTTTTTCCTACATGGGTATCCATTTGTTTCATCACTATTTGTTGAAAAGACTGTCCCTTCCCCCATTGAAGTACCTTGGCACCATGTTAAATCAGTTGACTACATAATTGTGGGTCTACCTCTGGACACTGTTTCCTCCAGGACCTGGTGACCAAATATCGATGGCTACAGCTTTGTCTTGAAATCTAGTAATAGGAGTCCTCCAACTTTGCTTTTCTTTGTCAAAATTACTTTGGCTACGTCCTTTGCATTTGCATTTCAGTTTTAGAAACTGCTTGCCATTTTTTCACACACACACACACAAAAGCCTACTGGGATTTTGTTCGAGATAGTTTTGTTTTATTTTGTTTTTGGTGAACATTTGGTAGTTGTGTGGGTAATAGAATGGAATTATCCTAGAGGGAGACCTGAACATATAGGAACCAGGTAAACTTCCAGATCACTGGTGGTGTAGCCTTAACTAGGAGGGATGCAGGAGAAAAGAGATGGATGGATTGGAGGCAGATCTAAAGGGTGAGCAGAGATGCCTGCTGACCTTGGACTGGAGGTGATCTAGAACGAGTCCTACAAAGAGTAGAACTCCCAGAAGAGAAGTGGCCTTGAGATAGACGTGGCGAGTGGTAGGACAGCCTCATGCACCATTGTGCTCCCTTCGCCGCCACAGGACTTCATGGACCAGGATGTACTTCTTTTCTTATTCTGAGCCATTAGATAATCTTTTATTCTAGGTGTAAATGACAACTCTCTAACTGTAAAGTGCTTCTGAGGTGAGTAAGAATCAGGACCTGATTTCTAAGGCGAGCGTTAGAGCAAGGAGCTGACTCTCTGTCACCAGGGCACGTCCACAGCAGATCCCAGTCAGAACTTAACGTCGAAGCCCCTGGCAGCTTGCGCAGTCAGTGGAGCAAGTCACTCTGGATTCTTACACACCGGAAGCGGAAAAGTCACTTGTTAGTTTAAGACGTCTGTCTGGGGAGGTGGCTTGGGTTTCTTGCCAATTGAAACCTTTCTCAGCTCTTGTGTTTGGGCACCGTCCCTGAAGCTTTGGGTTAGCGTCTTCCTGGTGCCTGTGGCTGATGTGGGTTATATTTTGCCACAGCAGGAGCCTCGGGGGTGGCAGAGGGAGTTGTTCTCCCCTGTCCTGTCCCCGTTGTGGGGGAGGAAGGGGTCCTCCCAGTCTTCTGAAACCTGTCAGCTTTCTTTAACAATGTGTTACCTTCAGGTTCAATAAGTTGATTGATTCATAAAATTTCCTGAAAAGGCAAATCTACATGGGTGTGAGGAGTTCGCGAGCTAATATAGAGATGGAATTTGAACAGCATTGATTGCCTGATGTCGTAACGTTTGGCTTAAATTTCACTCAGGCAGAAATAAAATGAGCTCAGATGCCCGCCTGTATTTCTGGGATTATTTTTATTGAAACCATAAGCCATCTTTTAAAATGTTGAACTCACTCCAGGTGGCAGTTTGGAAATTTGATGGTGCTTTTGTGTGGCAGTTCACCCTGAGCTTACACATTCTTTTTGAAGAAAGTGGCTCCAGCCCTCTTCCTTGCTGTTATTGTTACACATTGTCCTTTCCCCCCAGTGGTGGCATCTCCATCAAGGCGTCTGCAAACATGGACCTCATGAGGGCTGACATGGGAGGAGCTGCCACCATTTGTTCCGCCATCGTGTCTGCTGCCAAGCTTGACCTGCCCATCAACCTCGTAGGTGAGTGGGTAGCGGGGCCAGGTGGGGTGGGTCTCAGAGAGCTTCTGGAATCTGGTCAAATAGTAGAATGGAGACAAAAAGCATGATTTCTATTAATCTGAAAAGATCAAGAAATGGTTCTTAAGTAGGTTTTCACGCAGCAGAAGCTGTCTAGCTGAGATAAGTGTTTTCTCGTCTGAACTGAGTTAAATGTGTTCTGCATGGTGGGCTGCAACTAGAATTGATTTGTTTTACTTCTGCAAAAAGTGGTAGCAGTCGGGGGCACAGAATGTCAAGTCTGCGGTTTGCTCCAATGGGAAATGCTCAGTAATCAGGCTAGTCATTACCTCACAGGGTTGTGGCCGATTAAATGCCTTGATGCACACAAAATGCCTGGGATGGAAAAAGTGCTGAGCATGGAGCAGCAGTCTTTGTAGTACAGGGTGCCAGACACAGTGCTGGGAGGTTGCCTTGTACGGGGGTGCGGTGGTGGGGAGACTGAGGCTGAGGGACTTGCCCAGTGTCACATCCATTGCACGGAAGGTAGGGCTGCAGTCTGGATCTATCTGACAGGCCCTCGTCTCTCCTCCTCCTTTTTGCTGAACTATTGAAAGTGAGTTGCAGACATGATGACACATTACCCCTTGTACATGTCCCCTAAGAACAAGGACATTCTGTGTAATGACAGGATCAGTATCATTTCCGAGGATTGATATAGTAATTAAATTCAAACTGCCCAGTTGTCAAAAAAATGTTCATTTTACATGTGTGTCTATACACCCACAAATTTATTTCCATTTATTTTTGAAATCTGGGAGCCACTCTAGGATCACTCATTGCATATGTGGTTGCCATGTCTCTTTAGTTTTCTTTAATCTAGAACCTATTTCTGCCCCCTTTTTTTCTCCCATGACATCAGCAGTTTTAAAAGTTCCAGGCTTTTCTTGTGATGCTCTGCAGTGTGAATTTATTTATTTCTTCATGATAGAATCAGGCTGGACTTCTTGGGAAAGAATGCTACACAAGCGATGTGTGCTTCCTGCTGCTGGTGCACGTCGTGTCTCCTGGGACGCGGGTGATGCTAAACCTGACCACTGGTTAACGTGGTATCTGTTGGCCCACTGGTGACCTCGGTCCCATGAGTGGCACATTTGGACCCAGCGCGCTCCATTTTCCTTCATTTATTTTTTTTAAAGGTTTGGCCCCTCTTTGTGAAAATATGCCCAGCGGTAAGGCCAACAAGCCTGGGGATGTCGTCAGAGCCAAGAACGGGAAGACCATACAGGTCTGTAAGTGGCAGACACAGCACAGCCTCCGCGTTCAGGCGTTCCTGACAGAATCCCCGCGGAGCCTCAGAAGCACCTCCAAGGGGTGCAGAGCGCGGGCTCCACGTGGGGGAGGGCGCTGTCTTCATCACGAGGAGCTTTCCGTGCAGTGGAAAGTGTTTCTTTATGGGAATTTTTAAGTTGGTTTTCCTACCTTACTGTTCCCCTTCTTCCTCTATGCTGTGCACACCAATTACTGTGAATTTGCAGCCAGCCCCGCAGAGCGTGGCAGAGCAGTAAAAGTGCAGGCTGTTTACTGAATAGACCTTTGCTGTGGTAACTTTTTCTATTTAGTGACGTGTTCTGGGGGACAACACGTCCTGCATCTGGGGATGTGGCAGCCGGTCCTCTGCTGGGGCATGTGCGTGCGCGACACACTGCCCAAAAACTGAGCCTCTGTTTAAAAGAAGGGGAGATGATGTATGTGAGGTTGCTGACGTCTCAAGAGTCCCCCTGTCTGGAGATACATACTTTCGTACATCTTTCTTAAACCCTTTAGTTTATTTGCTTTTAGGAATCTTGACATTTTCCCCCTTCCTGTTATAAACCTATTGGTAGAACCAGACATTTCTATTTATTTCACTGTCCAAAGTCCACAGCATTTGGTCCTCAGCTCTGGTACAGGGACGATTACCTGATGTTTGCTCTTCAGATTAAATATGTTCCTATTCTAGCGGAAGTATGTTTTTGATACTCGATGCCAAACGTCACACCAGCTTTTTCTTACTTTTAAATTAAACACTGTTGTGAGTGTCTACTTTTTTATTCACTGCTTGTACCATCTTACTTTTTTTTTTTTTTGACCCTCCTCTCTGCAGGTGGACAACACGGATGCCGAGGGCAGACTCATCCTGGCCGACGCGCTTTGCTACGCGCACAGCTTTAACCCGAAGGTCATCATCGATGCCGCCACCCTGACAGGTCAGACAGCGAGCTTTTCCTGCTTTTGTTGGAAGGAGCCTCATTGATTGGTGCCGAGTGCACACACTGTACTCGGGACATTATTCCCCTAAAAGTTGGCTCGTTCCATTTGCATTCAAATG